TGGATCCAGGGCAGCATATGGCCCTTATTTGTCATCCTGTTAGTTAATTAAGAAACATTTGGGCTTCAGTCTTTAATCTGTATTGTTGCAGCAAATGGAATCAGGCATACGGGACTAGACTAGGCTATTGTACCTTGTGCTTGTAAAGTGTGAAACCTAGTCTGTAGTTTTAAGCATTTGTTTGGTAACCAGCATCCTGTGATATGGCATCTTACAAGGTTTGAGCTGAGACATTCAAGATCTCAGTGGGAGTGACCAAATATCAGGTTCTCCTGCTGCCTACAGCTTTACCTGGTAGCCAGGAAACTGGGAATTTGTTCGGGTGGAGGGAGCTTGGAAAAGAGATGTATCTTGCAATGCTTTCTAAGAGTGTGGTTAGGTTTGTGATGTCGCTGCTGTAGCGGAGCAGAGGGCAGTTATTTAAAGGAAATGCTGACAAATTCCGTTCCGAACCCATCAGGTTTTCATCAAGGATTTCAGAGAACCAGGCTGAACTGCTGATGTGAGCTACGCTTTTGATGATAAATCTTGGGGGGGGGGTGGAAGAGGAGAAAATAGGAGGGGATATTGCTAGATCAGACACAGAGCTCCGATAGAGCTAGAACAGCAAATAGAGTTGGGGAAGACTGACCAAGTAGTGTCACCGTGCAATGACGATGGTCTGAAATGACTTTGTTTGTAGTCCAAGACCTATAAAGGATGGCACAGCTACTGTCATTAACAATTTAAAGACCTTCAGACCCTGCTTTTGTTCTGAGTTGTCAGAGCGCTATGATATAGGTGCGTGTATCTATCTAGTGTGATACACATTTTTGTAAAGGAGTGAGTGGAGCAATTCATTTTCAAGTTCTGTTGAGCAAGAATCTTGGTATTTGGTTCTCTTTTATTATATCACTGAATATGCAGAGGGAAATCCACACATCAGCTTGGACCGTTCTATCAGAGGTCCCCTGTCTTTTTTGTTGTAGGATTGCAGCTGTCCAAGTACCCATTGAAGCTAGAATGTTGAAGTCTGGTGCAATCACTGCTTATGGAATACGAATTATGGAGGTGAAGGGGAAGTCTCAAATTTGAGATTTGTCACATGTATTGTGGGTCGCTGAAAGATCGTCAGTCTGACCACTTACAAAAACTAGATTAATTTATCTAGGTGTTGGCTCTGTTGATTGTGAAGCCTCCTACCTGGAGAGATGAAGGTCACTCGTTATATACAATGGATTTTAGCCAAGGAAGATTTCAGAGGTGAGTTTATTGTTGGCACTAATTTTGATAGCTACTTCCACCTGAACCATAGGTTGCTATTTTTGGGGAGTGTGTATATATGCACCCCTCCCTGCCACCACAATAATGTACATTTGCATTACCACCTGGGGAGAAGATTCAGGTTACCTGTCCTCACCATTAGAACTTCGTTACTTGATTAGCCTTGTTGTTTCCCAGCAGTCAAATCTGTTTCCCCTTCTCGCAGCCGGTGCCCTTTCATGTTTCCCCTGCTTGCATCTGTTGTGAAGTCTCATGGCTTTTGCTTTCATCCCCAGTGAATCCAGGCGACTGTGCAGCCATTGCACTTTTGAGTGACCATAAAACAGCGATCGTTTCATTTGAGTGTTTGTGGCATGTCGATAGCATCTCCCTGGAAAGGGCAGCCTGCTCTGGGGTTGGAATCTGATGCCTTCAGTCTTCAGCTTGTGTGCATTCAGCTGCGACAGCCGTAACTTTACAAAGACAGGAGACCTTTCGGACTAATGCTTCTCTATAAGGAAAGCTTCCGAATCATTCTGTGTGTGTTCTGCAAGGAAGACTAGTCATGTGACACTCTGTAGAGGACGCCCTTGAAATGTACACGGAACCAGGCTCTTCCCTTAGGTTTATATATGCATTGCTCACTGAGTTCAGGGGTAATTGCACATGTGCATCTGTGGACAGGATTTGGCCTTTAACTTCTGCATTGTGCCCTGATTAAACAAAACACTTAAGCTAAGCATGTACCTGGCTTTAGGCACCTGCTTGAATCCATCCCTGTTCATCAAATAATTAAATGCATGCTTAAGTGCTATGCTGAATCAGGGCCCATTTCCTTAGCAAGGAATAACACCCCCCCCCCCATCTCTCCCCATGGTTCGTGGAATGCTGCATATTTCTAACAGCACTAGTTTATTTAAGGCAGTGCATTCCTTTACCAGGTGAAAGCATCCGTTTAATACTGTGATTCCAGTAAACTTGGGAACTAGAATTTCAATTGTTCACATTATTTAATATTTCTCTCTTCAGGAGACCACTGGCAGATTAAAATAAGTCACTGTCTTTTTGTCTTTGTCTGCACTCCTCTTCCCCCTCCCCCCCTCACATTTAAATTCTTTTCAATTTGGGCACTTGAAGTTTCATAGATTCTAGGACTGGAAGGGACCTCGAGAGGTCATTGAGTCCAGTCCCCTGCCCTCATGGCAGGTCCAAATACTGTCTAGACCATCCCTGATAGACATTTATCTAACCTACTCTTAAATATCTCCAGAGATGGAGATTCCACAACCTCCCTAGGCAATTTATTCCAGTGTTTAACCACCCTGACAGTTAGGAACTTTTTTCTAATGTCCAACCTAAACCTCCCTTGCTGCAGTTTAAGCCCATTGCTTCTTGTTCTATCCTTAGGGGCTAAGATGAACAAGTTTTCTCCCTCCTCCTTGTGACACCCTTTTAGATACCTGAAAACTGCTATCATGTCCCCTCTCAGTCTTCTCTTTTCCAAACTAAACAAACCCAATTCTTTCAGCCTTCCTTCACAGATCATGTTCTCAAGACCTTTAATCATTCTTGTTGCTCTTCTCTGGACCCTCTCCAATTTCTCCACATCTTTCTTGAAGTGCGGTGCCCAGAACTGGACACAATACTCCAATTGACGCCTAACCAGCGCAGAATATAGCGGAAGAATGACTTCTCCTGTCTTGCTCACAACACACCTGTTAAGGCATCCCAGAATCATGTTTGGTTTTTTTGCAACAGCATCACACTGTTGACTCATATTTAGCTTGTGGTCCACTATAACCCCTAGATCCCTTTCTGCTGTACTCCTTCCTAGACAGTCTCTTCCCATTCTCTATGTGTGAAACTGATTGTTCCTTCCTAAGTGGAGCACTTTGCATTTGTCTTTATTAAACTTCATCCTGTTTACCTCAGATCATTTCTCCAATTTGTCCAGATCATTTTGAATTATGACCCTATCCTCCAAAGCAGTTGCAATCCCTCCTAGTTTGGTATCATCTGCAAACTTAATAAACGTACCTCTATGCCAATATCTAAGTCGTTGATGAAGATATTGAACAGAGCCGGTCCCAAAACAGACCCCTGTGGAACCCCACTCGTTATACCTTTCCAGCAGGATTGGGAACCATTTATAACTACTCTGTGAGTACGGTTATCCAGCCAGTTATGCACCCAGTAAAAGATAGTCACTAATAACTCATCCAGATAATGTTTGGAGCAACATCCTGCTACTCTCTCTGGCTAGTCTAAGCAGAGTAGTGAGACTTTGTCTGGACCCAGCCATCTGGGTAGCTATGGAGGTGTCACTTTAATGGACAGCATGTTCACAAGATTACAAACATAGGTCAGGTGGGGAAATGGTGGTGATGCTGCTGCTAATGCGAAGCTTATATATGCTTTAAATGCATAAACATAAGAACTCTTTCCAGTGGTGGGCAGTGTGTTTTGCAAGTAGGAAGCTGAGACGCGGGGAGGGGAGGTGACTTACCCAAGATCACACAGCAGATCGGTGGCAGAGCTGGGTATAGAATCCTGGTCCTCTGTCTCCAGGTCCATTGTCCCAGCTACGGGACCATGTTCCCTTGCTGCTGCTATCATTGCAAACCAGTCTAGTGCCTGGGGGGGGAAGAAGAAATGTGGTTAGGTAACCAGCACAGATTGTAGCTCTTATTTTGTAGGGTAGTTTGTTTTTCTGGCCCAGTAGATTAAATTGGGTCTGTTAGCCTTGAAAGTGTTCCCTTAACTTTTGTAGAGGTTGACTCAGTGTTGAGTGGCTACGGTACAGGATTAGGAGGCAGGATTCCTAGTTTTGGGGGAGAGGTGTTTGTGCATTAAGGGGAGTATTTCCTAGTGGACTGCCCAGGACTGCCTCTAACTCACTGTGAGGCTTAAGGAAAGTCACTCCATCTCTGCCTCTATTTACCCACTTGTAAAATGGCAAGAATATCTCACAGGGGTATTGCAAAATTTAATTCATATTTGCACAACCTTGGATGGTTGTATAAATGCAGGATAGTAGCCATGCACTGGGATATGGATTGCAGTGATTTAGAGGTTGTGAAGGGCTAGATTTAAAGTGTGCTGTTAAACTGATCTCTTTTCCTGGCACATGGCGCCTGAGGCATGCATTTCCAATCGTAACTGCAACTATAAAATAAGCAAATTCTTTTCCTCCTTTGGATTAGTGCCTATCTGTGGAGTTTAAATCCATAATCTAGTGTTTAAATTTAACCTGATTTTTACCAGTTATTCCTTTATTTTAGGCTGCAATTAAACTTGAGGCTTTGACTTTAAACTCTGAAAACAGCAGAAAGCTATCACTTGCATGAAAAAAGGGATATTGGAAAAAGACTTCCCAATGAAAGGATGGGTCCTGCTCGCGCTCTCTCTCTCTCTCCGCTGTAATCTCTTCTGTTAGCTTGTTTTATCTTATCAAACAAAAAGTCCCAGAAATAGAAAGTTTTCCATGGGTAAGAGAACCAGCCCTGGGATACACAGCATTAGGCTGTGTGCATTCCCCTTAAAAAAAGGAGCCCAAAGTGGCAGTCGATTATAAGTGAACACTATTGATGGTCTGTCTGCATGGGGGAAGAGAGAGAGGCTTGAGTTAGAAATGTACATAACTTGCAATGGTACACGCTGCTTCCAATAACATTCCGCATCTGAGTGCTTCCCGCTTGCTTCTCTAGTCTGCCTCCGTTGCTTGAGCCCAAAGAAGCTATTGATCTTCTGTTACAAGGATGACACAAGGGAAAGCAGAGGCAGCCGCTTGCTTTGGGGTTGTAACAAAGAGAATACGCAAGATATTCAGGCATTTTCCCAAGTCGAAATCTTGGTCCGAGGGTCTCCACCTACTCAGGAGGCCCAGCAGGGAGGTCTTACTGGTTAAAGGTAGGTGCTCTTGCAAGTTTGTATACTAGGCATACTAGTTAATTGCCGAGATATATCAGGTTGCAGCTACTAGTTAAACATTATGGGATTTGTGCAGTACTGGATTGTTGCATGTATTAGAAATGCAACACATAAGAAAGAGGTAACAAACTGTAGTAGTTCTGCTTTGTAACAGGCCAGATGATAAACTTTCCTTTTGGCTTTGTGTTCTTACATATGTCACTGTTGAGGATATTAAGCAATTTAAAAATCTTCTGTTTAGTCTCAGCTACTTAAGATTTATATTATGTTTTTCTACAAGTATGTCCCCAAATGCTGAAGTACGGCTGTTGTGGGCTATTGTATTGGGGTGTTAAATTTCTTCTTTCCCCAGGAAAGCTCGACTTTCTAACTAAAGGTGACCCTATTGCATTTGCTAAGAAGCTGGTTTCAGATATTACCAAGATCAAGTAATTGTACGTTTTTCAAGAGTGTTTTCATAACAGTTATAGTTTGGGGGGTTTTTTGGGGTGTGCTTGTTCTGAAACAATAAGGCAAGATTTATTTTATTCACTTCAAAAATTGGGTTTGTCGTCTCAGGTGAAAATATGTTACTGTGAAATCTTAGGACTGTAGTTGGAGACTAATCTTTGGACAAAAGTATCTGCAGTTCATATACTATGTGTTAACCAGGAAGTCAAAAAAGGCCGCTTTTAAGGATGACTATCTTGAATATGAGCAGTTCAAATTAATATCTGTTGGAAAACAGAACAGGTTTAAGTTTTATGCTCTGTCATCACTTAAATTGGTGGCAACTTTTTAGATTGCCCCCTCCCTTGAAATTTATGTGACAATAGAGGTTTCCTTTTATCATGTTTAAAGGGCCAGATGCTGCAGTCTTTACTCATGTAAAATGCCCATTGATGTGTTTTATCTGGCCAAGGTGTTTAATGCCAAGGTGTTTTATCTGAGTTCAGGCTGAAGGACTGAACCTTCAATCTTCTTGTGTTTGAAAGATAAGTGACAAAGAGCCTTCAAAATCAAATCTCCTATAAAGTGTGTGGTGTTTGCGGAGTTAATATGGAAATCGCGGGAAAGCCAGACTTTGAAAGTGAGTGAAAATGACTATGTAACTTTAAGGGATTTAGATGATTTGTGTTCATGGTTCACCTTTCAGCATTGGTAAGATCATCTTAAGCACTTTGTGGAACTGCGGTATTCACTGCCATGAGTCTCCTGCTAAAAGATCACTATATTTGGTACATACATTATCTTAGTGACTATCCCATGACCTTCACAGAGAGCGTGTTAGGCTGCGGAGTGCATGAAATGGGAACTGACTGATTCTCTTGAACAGCAGGCCAAAAATTATTCAGAGGTCCTTTCCCTGTTGTTTTTGCTTCTGAATTTGAGATGGGGCTATAGATTTAATAATATCAGTCAAGTATGGAATTGCAGACCTAGGGGCTGTGGGGTTGCTGCTACACCCAGCTGCTGTGTTCTAGTTAAATCGTGTCAGCATTTCCATTAAAAACTATAGTTTTCAGAGGATTTTACTAGCTGGTTGTCAAGTGTTTGGGGTTTTTTGTTTTGTTTTTTTTGTTTGTTTGTAAACCTCAGGCTGAAATTTTAGCATATTGGGTCTCCAGCTGTGTTTGCACTGGTGCAAGTGGGAGGATAAAGCCCTTATGCTCTCCCCAGGAACGCTGTTTGTCACAATCTGCTGTATTTTAGAGGCCAATAATTTCTCTTTCCAGCTCCCTTTTTTTGAACTGGGAATAAAGCGATCTGGGAAAGGATTTCTTAGCCCAGGGGACCTCAAACTTTTTCATAGCATGGGATGCATCTTCAGCATTGTCAATCCCAAGCATTCAAAAATGTGTCAGGCCTCAAAAAATCATGATTGGCTTAAAAATCGTGAGATTTAAAATAACATGTTGTGCTCTTTTTATTTACTGTCTGTTCTCTGTGGGTGCACCCATGTCACTCTTGCAAGCTTTTCTCCATGGCTATGAGGGCTACCTTTTTTTTCTTTTTTCTTTTTTAATGAAAGCAGTGAGTTTCTGTTATCACATGACTCTTGGGGCTTTAAGGAAAACCTCAAATATTGCAAGACTCCTTATAAAATCATGAGAGATGGCAGCATTGCTTTTTAATAGATAGTTACATGGACATGTCCCCTCCCATTCACAATTGAATGGATCGCCTTCCATCCATCTCAGCAGCTGGAAACATTTGGCCAGCCTGCTTTTCAGATCACAGTGTGAGAACTGTTGGTTTAGCAGAAACCAGAGGGGGGAGAGGGGTAGAGAAATTGCCCCAAACCATCTTCACCACCCACAGGTCTCATCTCAGGAACCAAGTTTCAGAAAGTTCTCGTGTATAAAACCTACTGAATATTTTAAAGCTTTTTTTTTTAATTTAAAATTTGTGGGTAATCTTTATTGCATCCCCCAGGTAGTTTGGTCTTGAAGTTAAAACCGCTCCTCAGGACACCTGGGTTCTTTTCTTGCTGCTAAGAGGAAGTGTGGCTGGTAATTGGAGCAGAAGGCTTGTTTTCAGGACTCCTTCATTCTCTTCCTGCCTCTTCCATAGACTCGCTACGTTACCTTGAGCGAGTCACTGCTGCTTCTCTCGGTGTTTCATTTTCCTCTTCTATACATTGGGATAGTCAAGGATTATACCTTAGTTCTGTATGAAGTACCTTGCACGTTTTTAGGAATTTGCAGATCATAATAGTAATAAATACCCATCCCATAGGTCTACCGTGAGGTTTAATTAAATGTTTGCAAAGTGCTTTGAGATCCTGTGGCTATGTGCTATGCAGGTGCATCATCACAAAGTGTGAGCATAGTCAAGCACTAGAATTACAGGGTAACATTCAAAATAAATATAACAAGAAAATAGGTAAGAATAAAATATTGTAATAGCCTGAGACTTAGAAACAGCGGTAAAACTGAAGACCAAGAAAGTGAGCAGCAGACGTGTTGAAACCCTAGCACCTCCTGTGGGAGACAAGGAAGCCGGTTTAAAGTTGTTGCTATTTTAAATCTTAGCTTCTGTTGATTGGACATGCTTGCTTTGTTCTGTGCAACTTCAAAATTGCTTTGATTGGAAAAGCAAGAGAGGATATTTGGCAGCTTAACAGTTCCCCTCCTAGCAAGCTCTGATTACTTCTAATATCTTGCAAAAAGGCTGAGATTCCCGAGGGCCAAATGTGGCGTTCAGCTATACCAATGTTGCTCTGACATGACTCAGTTGAAATACCTAAAATTGCCCCCAACTTAAACTGGTGTAACTGAGAGCAGAATCTGGTCCCAGATACACAAGTACGATGGAGTAATCTGTCGAATGGAGGAGCTTAGAGATATACAATTGTCTCTTGGAAACTGGGTTGGCAAAAGTATTTGTGCTTAAAACTGCAAGAGGTGCTGTTTGGTTTGTGCATCTGGGGAGGAGATGGAAAGAAATAGCTTCCTCTGGGGGCACTCATGTATCAGCTCAAAGAGTCTCTAATTTTAGCTGGACAAAAAATAATCCATCTCTGTTTTTAATGGAGGACGACAGCGATTCTGATCGATCACTAAACCCGATGCCTTTGTGGGAATTTATTTACATGTTTGATAGAAATTCAGTTTCTGTCAAATTAAGTGTCTCTTAATTTAAATGTAAAATATCTTACTCATTGAGTGGAGGCATCCTACTTCAGAGGCTCTTGGCAAACCCTGTCACGTGGTTATATCCTAGAGCTGGGTTAAGTTTCTAAAATTAGTTTTCCCTGCAAGTTACTGAAGTGATTATGTCTGTTAATAGGTGATAGTGACGAGAGAGTGTCATAGTAGATCCCGTAAAGAAATGCCTAATAATCGTGGGCCTGATCCTGAGGCTTGCTGAGCGGCCAGGGTTGCTGTTGACCTCAGAGTGTGTGTGTGTGTTGGGGGGGAGGGGTGGCATTATGGGTGCCTAGCTGCTTCCAGGGTCAGAGCCAATATCAGTGTTTTTAAGCTATTGCTGTGGTCTGAGGAAGATGAACAAACCAATCCATTGCAATTACAGTGAGAGCTTCTCTGTCATGCTATCGGTGCAGTCCTATCCAGAGCTGGCTACAAGCCCCAGGATGATATAGTGGTGAGGCTGGCCATACAAGTATTGAGATAGATGGGGACAATGGTGCAGGGAAGGGGCCAGCTTCAAAGAGTTTTGGGTTTTGTTTGGTAAACACCCAAAAGTTCGGCTGCTGTTTCTGCAAACTTGGGCTGGGGATTTCCCAAGAAGAGGCTTTTTACCAGTGCTCTCCAGCCCTTTCACTTCCCATTTTGGGCTGAAAAGGTAATGAGAACAACTTGGGTCATGGCATCCTAGAATTTCTTGCTCTTCCCTTATGGCGAAATACTGCAGTTTTCTAGGAATGCGTCCCACGCACTACAACTGGCAGGAATGCGAGGCAGAATTAGTGTTATTACTCTAGAACGGTGGCTCTCAACCTTTCCAGACTACTGGACCCCTTTCAAGAGTCTGTCTTTTGTACCCCAAGTTTTACCTCACTTAAAAACTTACAAAATCAGACATAAAAATACAAAAGTGTCACAGCACACTATTACTGAAAAATTGCCGACTTCCTCATTTTTACCATATAATTATAAAATAAATCAATTGGAATATAAATATTGTACTTACATTTCAGTGTATAATATACAGAGCAGTATAAACAAATCCCTGTCTATGAAATTTTAATTTGTACTGACTTCGCTAGTGCTTTTATTGTAGTCTGTTGTAAAACTAGGCAAATATCTAGATGAAAATTAGGTCTCTTTAAAGTGTCTCAAGTTGAGCTCTTAAAGTTATTAGTTGCTTCAGAAAAATCATATTCTGGATGTGCAAAAGTGGGGTTGGGAAGGAGAGTGGACCTGAAGCTATCATAGACCTTAGCCCATTTTGCAAACCAAATCCTACATTTTTATGGGGTAAAGGCCGAGAGATTAAATGATCCGGTCGCCTAAGCATGCTGTAGTTGCTTTGTA